CCCGGGTAAGACTGATATTTTGGGGAATGCTTGTAAAGAGAATGAACATATGCTGGAGCGGGAAACAAGAGATCTCCATAGGGGGCTAGGGAGGAAGGGGGGAATTCTTACAGGGGTCATGGGGGGAAGGGAGGAAGTCTGCTGCCCCTCAAAGGGCTCATGGGGGGGGCCCATGACAGATAATAGGAAAGGTTTTGCTCCAATAGAATGTAACCCTGTGTATAGGCACCCCCCTATTGCATTGTTCTGTGGGAGGATTTGACCTTATTCATGTGGGGGGGGGTGTGTGTGTATTTGTAATAAAACCAGAAGGGCGAGAATGAAAACTTCTTGTTATGTGAATTCAAACCATCATCCTGAAGGTGTCGTGTGGTCATTCTCCAGGTATAAGGAGCTCCAATCACCCACATTTCAACAGAAAGCTAAAGTAGGTTTGGATGGGCAGGAATCGTGTAGTTTAGCTGCAGTCGTGGTAAGCGAGATTCGCACAGCTTTATGGGGGATTTCTTTCTGCGCATCCAACTGCGAGATACTCACGGGTAAGGAGAAATTCGTTAAAGCGAATTATCCAAGACACATGGCAACCGATGCACATGAAAAAATACCCAACCCCCGACCACCCCTAACCAAATGTCAGAAGGTGGAAAGAAGAGGCTAACCTTCTCAGTGCATCACTGGAACACAGACCCCACCAACAATAAACAAACCAAGGTACCACACTTGATAAACAGTCAGCATTTTCATATTCACATCATAATACGCAAACTCTCATTACTACATCATAATGACTTACTTGTAAAAACATGCATGGTGCAGCAGACCACTAAGAGCCATGGTGTCTTCCACCGAAAATGTATTTGGTTGGGATCTGCAGCACTAAGTAAATGTCAACATACATCAACCTATACATAAAATACAATACATTTGCCCGGGGACTATATATGAGCGCACTTCACAAACAAAAAATGATTATTACACTTGATTCACAGAACAGACCATAGCAGTGGGACAGTGAATATCCCCTTTTTAATGACGTGGTCCGCTTAGCATAAGAAAATCCTGTCCAGTCCTGTTTCAGTACATCCCTTAGATCATTTTGATTGGTTTTGTTAGTTCTGTGATGCCCTCTCCAGGGATCAGAAAAGAAGACGGCTGCATTGGCAGACCTGGGCTATTGTTTAACATCAAAACTACCAGGGATATGGAGGTCCACATTAGCCATGTGCCAAAGACTCTTTCTCATCAGATTGGACTCTGCAAGTGAACCAGACTCTTGCATGAGACCAAAGACAAGGCGATCTTAGAGCAGAAACTTCAACCCAGTAGGGGAAGTTCCTCTGTTTGCCTCCTCCTTCTCCCTGCTATTAATATTTGATATCTTAGTTTTTTTTTTGGGAGAAGCAGGTACCCCACACCCACTTGATGAGGAAAGAACAAAGAGAGGGCGCACACGCCAGGCCTATGCATTACCATAAAAAATGTTTAATAAGAAATAAAATAGAAGAGATAAGAGTGTAATAGTTAGCAGGGTTACATTCAAGTCAGGGCTGAGAGCTGTTTAGGTCAGTTCCCTGATACCATCCCCACTGCTCTAGAATCTTGGAAATATTCTAGAAGCAGTGGGTGGGGGTGAGGAGGGGATGGCCTGCACACTTAGGAGGCCCTGGCCAATCCCCAAGCAGGAGGATTGGCATGGGGTCAGGACAACCCTTAAGATTAGCTGAGCCTGCTCAGTAGCAGATGGGGTGAGCAGCTGGAGTGAGGAGCCTGAGAGGGGGTCCAAGAGATGGGCCTACCTACAGGTGGAGGAGCTGGAAGGGAGGATCTCTCATCCTCAATCATACTCTGAGAGGACAACCTGAGAAGCAGGGAAGGAGCATGCCCAGTTTAAGACCTGAAGGCAGCCACCAACCCACAAGCTTGTAGACGAGGACTGAGTGAGTAACACCACAGAGGGAATTCTGGTGGGAAACCTGACTAGGCCCCCATCTGGGTCTGCTGATGCTAAAGTGGCAGATTCTGGGCTCCCATGCCCAAGGATTCCCTCAGACAGCTGGGTGAAGAGGAGATTTCATTAGGGGTCTGAGGAGGTACGTAAGGAGAGGCTGGATAGGTCTCCAAGAAGATGATTTTTGTGTAATAGACTTGTACATAGTTGTTAAGGAGTTTGTCCTCAGTTTACAGTTACCATGGGCATCGCATACACCCCTCTCCCCATCCAAGTTCAATACCCCTTTATAAAATCCAACAAAAAAAAAAACAAGCTCAAGGACTGTTTACTGTCTCCTGTGTGCAAGGATTGAAGGAAATGTATGATGCCTGGATGTGAAGGACTATAGGGGGACCCAAATCTTTTAGCGACTCCTAAGGGGGTAGTGCTACATCAATAATAATAATATAGTGGTACAGATTTGTTCAACTTGCTTTAATTACGGCCCCATTCACACTTAGTGTAGGGAGAACGCATATTTTTGTACACTTTTTTTGCATGCGTTTTTACGCATTTCTAGACATCATGTGTTGGACACATACTTGAATGGTTTCATATGATGTCCTCCCACTCCAGCTGTGCATGCGCATCCCCGGGAGTGAGCAGCGATCGCAGTAAAGAGCCGATGATGTAGGCTTGATCATGTGATCAGCTGTGTCCAATCTCAGCTGATCACATGTAAATAGGAAATGCCGGTTGTTGGCAGTCCTCTTTCTCACGCTTACAGCTGACAGCGTGAGGAGAGCCGGTACACTGATCATCAGGGCACTGATCATTCCAATCCCTTTGGCTTTTTACTGATTTTGTGGTACATCTGTACTATTATGATTTATGCCTATTTTTATTGTTTGTTTATACAGTACCATCATAATAATATTGGTGACCGAACAGACTCTTCATCAGCTCCTGGGTGGTTGTGGCGGGGCCCCTCCAGGAGATGACGGAGCGGCATTTGTTTTTTCCTGTTTCTCTCTCCCCCTTTTTTTTCCACATCTGTCATTAGAGGAATATGGAATTATTGGCTGCATTCACGTAATTAATGATTTTAACCCATTGGCGGTCCTTCCTTTGCTCTCCGTCCCTGCATGGGGCCATGTAAGAGTATAATTGTGTCCTATTAGAATGTCATTGTATTGTTTGTATTTATGAAGGACCGGAGATATATAATGATTTCTTTACTGTAGGCGTCATGCCCTCTGAGCACTTCTGAAGAAGAGCTTGTGATTGTTCTCGAAACGCGTCAAGTGCAAATAGACGCATGACTCATCTTTACATATTTATTGTAAAATCACGTCTGGTGATACTGCCATAGTCTGTAATTGTAATTAAATGTCTTTTACAAGATTGTACAAATAATAAATGGTTCCCTTTTAAATTGTTAATTGTTAGGATACTCTTTGGTCTAACATGTGCCTTAAAAATCCCACCAACAAGAGGGCTTCTCCATCACATCAGAACAAGAGGGATTCCATAATGATTTAGAAATCATGGGGAGACGTCTTATTTACAGCATTTTTCCTCCAACATTTCCTCTGACAGCAATATAAACTTTTTCCAGAGGCTCCAACTCTTCCTCACTCTTCTGAAAACCAAACAGAGAAAGTTTTATCTGGAGTTGCACTTTAAATCAGCAGGCAGGAAACATTATATCTTGTGAGAAGTAGAGAGAAGTAATCCAAGATACTCACAGGTTTACAACAGATTAATCATCCCAACACAAGCACATACCATGGCGAACACTATTCCAGTTTTTGTTCCAATAAAATGGCAGCCTAAAAAGTAGAACACGGCAGAGTGAGAATTGTTGAAACATAATGAAGATAGATGTAGCAATTGTTAACGAATTGACGAGAAATTGATCCAAGATCACTAACAGGGCTCAAATATGGGAGAAGTAATAGAGGAGAATGAACACTTCTTCACTGCCAATATATACCTTTCCTGCTGCTTTGTTCACAATAAATCCTCTACTGAAGTCTGCTGGGAAACCAACATTTACACAAGTGTCTCCTGCCCCTCCAGCTGCGTTCAGTGGTTCCTCCTGCCAACCTCCACATCATTTTAGGACAGAGAAGAAACGTGGAGGTTGGCAGAAGGAACCACTGAGTACTGCAGGGGCCAGGAAGATCAGCACTCCTGGAAGTGTCTTCAGTGGAGGATTTATCGTGAACAAAGCAGCAGCAAATGTCACTTTTGAAGGTTTTTCATGTCTGTTTTTTAAGGTCAAGTGTGCTTTATTTGGCTCCAAAAAATGTGATAAAAAATTGAAAGAGGCTGGAAGAAATCCTTCAAGTGATATTACACCCTAAATCAAACAAAGCACATCAGGCTGCAGACCTCAGCACTGGCCCCTGTAGAACTCCCCCTGTCCTCCCCTCCTCAGGTGTCTCCATCATCTTACAGAGACTCACAGAGCTCATGTATGTCCATAAAATCTCACAGTCCTGGCAGCAAGCCACGCCTCTGCTCCTCCCTGCAGCTGCTGATTGACAGTGACAGGAGATCGCATCATCCCTGCTGTGCCGTGGTGGTGAAAGGCACAGAAAATGCACCCCACTACCCAGGGATGTCTTTAAGAAGCCTCTGCACCCTAGCAACAGAATTACACCAGGTGGCAGAAGCCCCTGCACCCTAGCAACAGAATTACACTAGGTGGCAGAAGCCCCTGCACCCTAGCAACAGAATTACACTAGGTGGCAGAAGCCCCTGCACCCTAGCAACAGAATTACACTAGGTGGCAGAAGCCCCTGCACCCTAGCAACAGAATTACACTAGGTGGCAGAAACCCCTGCCCCTAGCAAAAGAATTACACCAGGTGGCAGAAGCCCATGCACCCTAGCAACAGAATTACACTAGGTGGCAGAAGCCCCTGCACCCTAGCAACAGAATTACACCAGGTGGCAGAAGTCCCTGCACCCTAGCAACAGAATTACATTAGGTGGCAGAAGCCCATGCACCCTAACAACAGAAATACACTAGTGTGTCAGAAGCCACCTTCATCCTAGCAACAGAATTACACTAGGTGGCAGAAGCCCCTGCACCCTAGCAACAGAATTACACCAGGTGGCAGAAGTCCCTGCACCCTAACAACAGAAATACACTAGGTGGCAGAAGCCCCTGCACCCTAGCAACAGAATTACACCAGGTGGCAGAAGTCCCTGCACCCTAACAACAGAAATACACTAGGTGGCAGAAGCCCCTGCACCCTAGCAACAGAATTACACCAGGTGGCAGAAGTCCCTGCACCCTAACAACAGAAATACACTAGGTGGCAGAAGCCACCTTCATCCTAGCCATAGAAGGAAGATAGGCAGCAAAAGCTACCAGCATCATAGCAACAGAAGGAAGCTGGTTGGCAGAAGCCACCTGCATCCTAGTGTAGCACTACCCGCTTAGGAGTTGCTGGATTATTTTCAGGCTCCCTGTTGCTCTAGACCCCTCTCAGAAAGCCCAACCCCTGCTGACACCCTAACTGGGAGAGACTGCCACCAGGAAGTAAACTCACACACTGATTGGAGTAAACTGGTAAGAGGTTTATAGCAGATTTAAATGTAGCTTGGCTACACAGCAGAAACAAAATCAGCATATGCAGAGTCAGTTGTTATTTGTGTCAACATTAAACAAAGAAAAGACAATACTTCTCACAGAACCACCATTAGGGTTAGCAGGCCGGCTTTTCAGAAACTAACCCAATACCTTCAACCTGAGGTGGCTTTATAGTCCCCAGTGAGCAACAAGAGCTATCAGAATAGGCAAGGCTAGCTCACTCTGGGCCCTCAGGACCTGATTGCAGGGATGTAGCCTGAAACAAAAGTGCGCTTTACCCCTGAAGTAACCAATTCCCCCAATAAAGTGCAATGAAGAGACTTCTGCGCGTGATGGGGCCCAGTTGGTGCACAATGAGAAGAAGTGTGGATAGCGATTCTCTGAAGAACAATGCAATAAGGCAAAGGAGGGACAGCACTCCTTTTGAAGGTGGCCAAGAACTGGAGTAATGTCTCTTTAAGTGCACTGGTCACTAGAAAGTAGATGTGAAGAAAAAGGATGTTGGGTTGGCAGGAGTGATTGTTGATACAGGGTAGATCTTCTCTGGACTACTGGCACAATATGAAGAGTTCTCTTTAAAAGGATAAACTGATGATGAAAGTGACACAGCCGGGGTTTGGCCTGCGAGATGGCTGTCCTGCTATCAGTGCTGGTGTCAAGGCTGTGTCAAGTGTAGTTAAGTAACAGCGGCTGAAGGAACTAGGCCACAACTTATAGTGGCTGTATACGATGACCGCAACTGTGTGGAAGAAATGGCAACTATGGATCAAGTGTCAGTGTTGCTGTCCCTAGGCAAGGCTTGGTACTCTCTCACCCCAGGAATGCCATCTGGGGGATCCTTGTGTGATGGGCGCGGCGTCAGACCCCAGCCCTTCTCACCAACTTGTGACTCGAAGGACCAGCCAATCTAAGACTGCGCTGCCAATTGTTGTGTAACAATGCCACTCTCAGCTGCACCCTGCACAGAGATTTTCCAGCTCGCTGGACCACAATCTATGTGCCAGCAGCCTGAGAGCGATTGTTACTGGTCAGGTTAATTATGCAATTAACCCTTCACACTGCCACCACCACCTTTTTACAGAGAAGGAGGAAACTCACAAATCTTAGCAGTAATACTATGATGTTTGAAAAAGCGTCTGTAATACACACTGTCACACCAGACAGGGATATGCAGAGGGTTAAAATATACAATAGCACTCTTCAGAGACAGTGATTCTTTTAGTTTGCATTAAAAGCTTTAGAGATAATTTCAACACTTTTCAGAAAATAGGATTTATTACTAAAAAGAACGATATCCAGAAACTACTTGTGGGGAAATATGAGCTCGGGCTATTGCTTCAGGTATACCATTCCTGTATTCATTATGCTTGCATTGTGATAAGAGTTAGAGTGATGCTTTAAGTAGATGAAATTATTGTGTCTTAAGTAAATCTTATAAGAAATGTCAGCATTATGTTCGAGCTTATGGAAAATTTTAATAGGTGTATGTATGTCACAAGTACAACCGCAAAGTAACAGGATGGACGCCTAGACTGCAGGTGTCTGCAAAATATCATAGAACATAGATAGATGTTCAGATAAGAGATCTGGGAACACAGCCAAAACGGCAGGATGTACTGACTGAGGTTTAACAGTTTAGTGAAAGGTGAACCTTGTCTGGTATCTGGGTAGAAGTAAAAAGTACGCTTTGCTATTGGATAAGTTAGGTTTGTCTTACTATTGGATAATTTGGGTTTGTGGTTTTTATCTTTATAAGCTGTAATGTATGTAATAAACTTTGCAATCTTCCTGTATCCTACTTTGTGTTGGTTATGTTGATTGCCCGATCGCGATCGAGCCCGTGCCACACCCAGACGCTGCGCAGCACAAAGAAAATATAAGAAATAAGAATATAAGGATTCCAGGAAAAGGGGAATACCTTACACTACTAAATAATATTAATATGACCTTTTAGTTTTTCATTGTTGTCACTTATGATTTTATATAGGAATAAATACTGTGTTTTATCAATAATGATATGATGCATACAACCTACTTCACATTAATATGGGTAGCTGCCCCCCCTTTTTTATAAAATGGTCTTTTAAAATTTTTTTTTTTTTAAAAATGGTGTTTATCATTTTTACATATGGGGATATTTATTAGATACAATGAGATGTATAACCCCATATGACTTTTTGTTCAGCCAGTGACAAATTTCTCTCGAATCACTGACTGAACATTACTTTGACACACCCTCGGTATATTCTCTGAGGAATTTCAGTCCTGTAGTTCGCGCATGTGCAATGAACTCGAATACCGCACAATAGTCTGAAAGAAAATGACATTCGAGTTCGCACGTGCGCACTAGCAGACGGGCCGACGACAATATGGCGCCCGTCCGATACATACGACGCCCGTTCTGTGTAACTGAGGCACCTTGTGTAATTACCTACACCCAAACAAACGAGGTAAGCTCCCCTACAAGGCACCAATTGTGTGCCCGACATTTTATCATACTTACCAGCGTTTGCACATGCGCGGTAGGCATACACACATCCTGGTCTACAATAAAATGGTGCCCGGACGCCCGCGCATGCACACTGCGCACCGAACATCGGCAAAATGGTGCCTGCTTAATTGATGCAGGCACCCAACACACAACACTATATATATGGCCATCCTGATGTCTGGAAGGTATGGCGCTTACCCTTCTGATGATGTACGTGTGATACGTGTGTGCTAGCCATGACATCAAGCCGCCGGATCAGGGAGGTCCGGCGGCCACCCATTTTTGCAAAGCGAAACAAAACAAAAAGCACACCAACCTTGCGCATTACCTCAGTAACCAAATTTTATTCAATACAGAATGATACTCACAAACAGCGCAGTAATTGAAGCATTTAAGTCCTCACAGGGACTTGAACATTAGGCAGCCTGCGCGAGTCCCATCATAGGGGTAGACACTCAGGGTTAGGGTTGACGAGTTTCGAAGGGCATCCCTTCTTCCTCAGTGATCTGAGGAAGGTTGGTGCGCTTTTTGCTTTGTTTTGCAGTATTGGTCGGGCTTCCCCAGCCTTGTTTGGAGCTGCACAACCCTATATGCACTGGTGGTCGAATTTTTCCAGTTCTGGTTCCATCTATCTGCCACCTATCTGGGTGTCAGAGCGCAGGAGAGTTCGTTTCTGGCCACCCATTTTTGCCAGCTGGTCAGTGTTATGCTGTATTCAATTTTATCATACCCTTTTATCGTACCCTTTTATCATACCCTTTTATCGTACCCTTTTATCATACCCTTTTATCGTACCCTTTTACCATACCCTTTTATCGTACCCTTTTACCATACCCTTTTACCATACCCTTTTTATCATACCCTTTTATCGTACCCTTTTATCGTACCCTTTTATCGTACCCTTTTATCGTACCCTTTTATCATACCCTTTTATCATACCCTTTTATCGTACCCTTTTATCATACCCTTTTATCGTACCCTTTTATCATACCCTTTTATCGTACCCTTTTATCATACCCTTTTACCATACCCTTTTATCATACCCTTTTATCGTACCTTTTTATCGTACCCTTTTATCGTACTCTTTTATCGTACCCTTTTATCGTACCTTTTTATCATACCCTTTTATCGTACCCTTTTCTCGTACCCTTTTATCGTACCCTTTTATCGTACCCTTTTCTCGTACCCTTTTATCGTACCCTTTTATCGTACCTTTTTATCGTACCTTTTTATCATACCCTTTTACCATACCCTTTTACCATACCCCTTTTATCATACCCTTTTATCGTACCCTTTTACCGTACCCTTTTATCGTACCCTTTTATCGTACCCTTTTATCGTACCCTTTTATCATACCTTTTTATCGTACCCTTTTATCATACCCTTTTATCGTACCCTTTTATCGTACCCTTTTATCGTGCCTTTTTATCATACCCTTTTATCATACCCTTTTATCATACCCTTTTATCATACCCTTTTATCATGCCTTTTTTATCATGCCTTTTTATCATACCCTTTTATCATACCCTTTTATCATACCCTTTTATCATACCCTTTTTTATCGTATCCTTTTACCGTACCCTTTTATCGTACCCTTTTATCGTACCCTTTTATCGTACCCTTTTATCATACCTTTTTATCGTACCCTTTTATCATACCCTTTTATCGTACCCTTTTTATCGTACCCTTTTATCGTGCCTTTTTATCGTACCCTTTTATCGTACCTTTTTATCGTACCCTTTTATCGTACCCTTTTATCGTACCCTTTTATCGTGCCTTTTTATCATACCCTTTTACCGTACCCTTTTATCGTACCCTTTTATCGTACCCTTTTATCGTACCCTTTTATCGTGCCTTTTTATCATACCCTTTTATCATACCCTTTTATCATACCCTTTTATCATACCCTTTTATCATGCCTTTTTATCATGCCTTTTTATCATACCCTTTTATCATACCCTTTTATCATACCCTTTTATCGTACCCTTTTATCGTACCCTTTTATCATACCCTTTTATCATACCCTTTTATCATGCCTTTTTATCATACCCTTTTATCGTACCCTTTTATCATACCCTTTTATCATACCCTTTTATCATACCCTTTTATCGTACCCTTTTATCATACCCTTTTATCATACCCTTTTATCATACCCTTTTATCATACCTTTTTATCGTACCCTTTTATCATGCCTTTTTATCATACCCTTTTATCGTACCCTTTTATCATACCCCTTTTATCGTACCCTTTTATCATACCCTTTTATCGTACCCTTTTACCATACCCTTTTATCGTACCCTTTTACCATACCCTTTTACCATACCCTTTTATCATACCCTTTTATCGTACCCTTTTATCGTACCCTTTTATCGTACCCTTTTATCATACCCTTTTATCGTACCCTTTTATCATACCCTTTTATCGTACCCTTTTATCATACCCTTTTATCGTACCCTTTTATCATACCCTTTTACCATACCCTTTTATCATACCCTTTTATCGTACCTTTTTATCGTACCCTTTTATCGTACTCTTTTATTGTACCCTTTTATCGTACCTTTTTATCATACCCTTTTATCGTACCCTTTTCTCGTACCCTTTTATCGTACCCTTTTATCGTACCCTTTTCTCGTACCCTTTTTATCGTACCCTTTTATCGTACCTTTTTATCGTACCTTTTTATCATACCCTTTTACCATACCCTTTTACCATACCCTTTTATCATACCCTTTTATCGTACCCTTTTACCGTACCCTTTTATCGTACCCTTTTATCGTACCCTTTTATCGTACCCTTTTATCATACCTTTTTATCGTACCCTTTTATCATACCCTTTTATCGTACCCTTTTATCGTACCCTTTTATCGTGCCTTTTTATCATACCCTTTTATCATACCCTTTTATCATACCCTTTTATCATACCCTTTTATCATGCCTTTTTATCATGCCTTTTTATCATACCCTTTTATCATACCCTTTTATCATACCCTTTTATCATACCCTTTTATCGTATCCTTTTACCGTACCCTTTTATCGTACCCTTTTATCGTACCCTTTTATCGTACCCTTTTATCATACCTTTTTATCGTACCCTTTTATCATACCCTTTTATCGTACCCTTTTATCGTACCCTTTTATCGTGCCTTTTTATCGTACCCTTTTATCATACCCTTTTATCGTACCCTTTTATCGTACCCTTTTATCGTGCCTTTTTATCATGCCTTTTTATCATACCCTTTTATCATACCCTTTTATCATACCCTTTTATCGTACCCTTTTATCGTACCCTTTTATCATACCCTTTTATCATACCCTTTTATCATGCCTTTTTATCATACCCTTTTATCGTACCCTTTTATCATACCCTTTTATCGTACCCTTTTATCATACCCTTTTATCGTACCCTTTTATCATACCCTTTTATCGTACCCTTTTATCATACCCTTTTATCGTACCCTTTTATCATACCCTTTTATCATACCCTTTTATCATACCCTTTTCTCGTACCCTTTTATCGTACCCTTTTATCGTACCTTTTTATCGTACCTTTTTATCATACCCTTTTATCGTACCCTTTTCTCGTACCCTTTTATCGTACCCTTTTATCGTACCTTTTTATCGTACCTTTTTATCATACCCTTTTATCATACCCTTTTATCGTACCCTTTTATCATACCCTTTTATCATGCCTTTTTATCATACCCTTTTATCATACCCTTTTATCATACCCTTTGTGCACGAGGATTGTTTTCTACTACAGTACCTAAGAAGTTTGTCTTTTCTGTTTTAATCCTCAATAAATTAATTTTTTGTTTGACTTAAAATACTAGACTACGGGTACTTTTTTCTGCTCCACATCGAGCATTTAATCCCCCAGGACCACCAGGTGACCATCCCAGAGCCCAGAGGAGAGCTGTAACCAGCAGATCCCATCTTTAGCCAGGCTTATTAAGGGGACCCCTAGATGTTTTACCATTCATCGCGGAGTCATCCATTCCAGGCTACGCTCCATCCATAACTGAAGGGACCTCTGGTGTATATGACACAAATGCGCAGTTATATTGCGCCTCTGGTGAGTGTGCAATTTACTTATTATTCCTGCACGGCACCGGATCACAGTTATCACTGGGATTTTATCAAGTCACCATTTTCAGTCTAATCGTGGTTCCACCACCATCAGTTATTCTGTACTTTGCACTGTGTGTTTTACTACAATATTAGTGAAGGTGTTTGATACAGCTCCACCATTGCTATCATTTCTTAAGGACTTCATTTACATACTGTGTTGCTTTATTATTTGTCATATGTTTGTGCTATTTCTCATACATCATTATAGGCATATCCTTACACTTCATTTCTAGCACTGCACTACTTACATTTATATTATATTGAAGGTTTTATGGTTTCCCTTTTTAGTGTATCAGCTGCTGTCACCCGTTAGCGCTCGCTGAACCACATACAACTACACTTCTCTCTCTAGATCTCTCCTTTCTCACTTCCTGTCCAATCTCCAGGGCTTTTACATATATATGCCCCGCCCACATGCCAGCTCCTTTGGGAAACGTAGTCCTGCGATTCAGCATACAAGTTCCATAGAACTGTTCCTCAACATGAGAATGCCACTGTTCTGAAGGACACTGCCATCTTGTGTTGGCTTCCTTGGAGTCACAGATGCTGTTTGGACTTGTTCTCCCAGGTTCTTGCTTCACTGTCACTTTTATTCGTTCCCCCTGCTTAGTAAATTAGAGCAGGTCAGAGTTCCCAGCACTAGATAAGCACATGCTTAGATAGGTAAATTCAAGATATTTGACTTGTCACCAAAACAAGAGGTGGGAGGAAATCTTCCAATGGGAAAACCTGTTCCAGTGATGACTGTCTACGAGGGGAATCTCTAACTTTGTACAGGTTCCTACTTAGGGTTTAGGGCTTTCCTGTTGCATCCCCAAGGCTGGAAGTAGAGAGAAATCTTCTTACTAAAAAAATAACCCTAACCCACACCTTTGCTATATAAAGTGTTTACCTGAGTAGATATGGGTTCCACTCCCTACAAACCTCACGTGTTGGCCTTTGACAGTGATGACAGCCCCACAGTAGTAGACTCCCAGGTGGGTTCCTTCCATTGTTTTCCTCACAGTCACTATGAAGTTTGAAGGTTCTCCACTTATATTGATAGTCGTATTATGATTAAGTTCAAGGGGGGGGATTCTCGCCAGAATTGTGGATCCCTTCTCCACGTAGCTGCTGAAATTGCAACTGCTGGTGACTGTGCAGGTGAATCTCATTTCATCATGTCCAACATCCAGCTCCCGAGGATTCTGGTCAATGGAGATTTTACCACACGCTGGAAAAAAAAGAAAAGCAAATGTTGACTGTTATCCTGAGATCTATATAGCGAAGATTACCAGAAACAACAAAACGAGGGTGTGCTGACCTCATGCGTTACCGCAATAGCCATTTATTTACAAATGTAAAAAATGATTCTACTCAAAAACACGACAAACATAGGAACCTAAAAGGATGCAGACGAGACTGTCTGCAGGTCCACAGTACTCTGCCAGTGGTATGAGAAGCCCTCGTAGCATCCAAAGACTTACGCGTTTCAAGGGTTGAGCCCTCTTCTGCAGAGCCAAAGAAAGTATCAACGCTTTCACACTGACACACTTTATATTTAATGAGATATTAGCCCAGGTCTAGAGTACCCTCCCACCTCTTATGAGGGAAGGAGACGGGTGGGACGTGGATCACGTGAGCAAATGGTTCGTGGACACTACAGTAACCCACTGGCATGGAAGCATCATTTATTGTATTTCATGTGGCATTATGGTGGATATGTACAGTGAAGGTTGGGGAGCATACCTTTGTACCCTCAAATCTGGGATCTGCTGCAATGTATTGTGATCTGCTGCAATCTATTGTGATCTGCTGCAATCTATTGTGATCTGCTGTGATCTACTGTGATTTGCTGCAATGTATTGTGATCTGCTGTGATCTACTATGATCTGCTGCAATGTATTGTGATCTGCTGTGATCTACTATGATCTACTGCAATCTATTGTGATCTGCTGCAATGTATTGAGATCTGCTGCAATGTATTGTGATCTGCTGTGATCTGCTATGATCTACTGCAATCTATTGTGATCTGCTGCGATCTATTGTGATCTGCTGTGATCTACTGTGATTTGCTGCAATGTATTGTGATCTGCTGCAATGTATTGTGATCTGCTGTGATCTACTGTGATCTGCTGCAATGTATTGTGATCTGCTGTGATCTACTGCAATGTATTGTGATCTGCTGTGATCTACTGCAATGTATTATGATCTGCTGTGATCTACTGCAATGTATTGTGATCTGCTGCAATCTACTGTGATCTGCTGTGAGTCCTTCTGTCTGAATCCATGTACTGTATATAGCTGCAGGGACCTAATGTCTGTCCTCGGCCCTCGGAGATGCTGTTAGCAGCTATTGTAGTGTGGAGCGCAGTGGGATGTCTCACGTTTGTTTGTAATAATGTAAACAATCCATTGGTACATTGTAAGCTGGATCAGGTTGAATCAGCAACACAACACAACAGCTTGGGATAGACTCCAGGGAAGGGATCAGGAAAAGGGACAGCATCAGGGACAGATCCAGGAACAGGGACAGGAACAGGGAAGGGATCAGAGACAGGAACAGGATCATGGACAGGGAAGGGATCAGGGAGAGGGACAGCATCAGGTACAGGGACAGAATCAGGGACAGGGAAGGGATCAGGGAGAGGGACAGGATCAGGTACAGGGGTAGGGACAGGATCAGGGACAGAAACAGGGATCAGGGGCAGGATCATGGATAGGTACAGGGAAGGGATCTGAGACAGGAACAGGATCAGGGACAGGGAACAGGGACAGGATCAGGGACAGGGAACAAAGACAGGATCAGGATCATGGACAGGGAAGGGATCAAGGAGAGGGAAAGGATCAGGGACATAAACAGGGACAGGGAAGAGGAACAAGGACAGGATCATGAACAGGGAACAAGGACAGGATCAGGATCATGGACAGGGAAGGGATCAGGGAGAGGGATAGGATCAGGGACATAAACAGGGACAGGATCAGGGACAGGGAAGGGGAACAGGGACAGGATCATGAACAGGGATAGGATCAGTGGCAGGAACAGGATCAGGGAGAGGGATAGGATCAGGTACAGGGGCAGTGACAGAATTGGGGACAGGGAAAGGATCAGGTTCTGGGACAGAATCAGGGACAGAATCAGGAGAAGGGATGGGGAAAGGATCAGGGAAAGGGCAAGGGAGAGAGACAGGATCAGGGATGGGGACATGGAAAGGGATGGGGACAGGATCAGGGGCAGGGATGAGGAAAGGATCAGGGACAGGGAAAGGGACAGTATCAGGGACAGGGCAAAGATGGGGAAAGGATCAGAAACAGGGTCTGGGACAGGTATGGGGACAGGGACCATTCTGTCACCAACTATGAGGTTATGAGATGGCTTTTAGGTTCACATCTCTGTGTGTCAGGAAAGCACACAAAATCTCACACTTTCCCAACACGCAGAGAAATGCGCTGCACTTAATTCTTAATGGCACCCCCATGCAGCAGGAACCAGTGGCGTCACTAGGCTTGTTGTCACCTGGTGCAGTAAAACAAGGTGCCCCCCCTCCCTATTTGCAGCACAGTGGCTAAATGGTTAGCATTTCTGCCAGACAGTACTCTGGTCACTGGTTCAAAGTTTGCATGTTCTCCCTGTGCTTGTGTGAGTTTCCTCCAGGGTACTCCGGTTTCCTTCCACACTCCAAAGACATGCTGGTAGGTTAATTGGCTCCTGTCTAAATTATCCCTAGTATGTGTATGTATGAATGTAAGTTAGGGACCTTAGATTGTGCGCCCCTTGAGGGTTAGGGACTGATGGGAATGTACAATATATATGTAAAGCACTGCGTAAATTGATGGCACTATGTAAGTGCCTGAAATAAATTTGCAGGTCAGCAGCCCAACGGTGCAGCTGTCAATGAGGCCTGCAGGCAGTATTAGGGCTATAGGGTAGCTGGTTAGGCAGTTTCTGAAGACTCAGTCCTGAGGAGCAGTAATGGATAATGGCCGACAGGCCCTCTCACCAGACCCAGCAAAACTGAAGCAGCGATTCCTCTGGCTGGATGTTCACTCACTCTGACCGAAAGAAGACTTTGGGTCAATAGTGCAGCACGACTGTACCCTGGCAGTGGCTCAGTCTCTCTCTCTCATGGTGGTGCTGAGCAGCGTGGCTCTCTTTCTTGGTGCTGGGCAGCATGGCTCTCTCTCTCTTTCTTGTGGTACTGAGCAGCGTGGCTCTCTTTCTCGTGGTACTGAGCAGTGTGGCTCTCTCTCTTTCTCATGGTATTGAGCAGCGTGGCTCTCTCTCTTTCTTGTGGTACTGAGCAGCGTGGCTCTCTCTCGTGGTGCTGAGCAGTGTGGCTCTCTTTCTCGTGGTACTGAGCAGTGTGGCTCTCTCTCTCGTGGTGCTGGGCAGCGTGTGTCAGGGAATGGGAAGATCGGCGCAGCGATCGAATCTGCACATGCGTAGAATCCTGACAAAACGTACAGGCAGGCAGGCACTAGGACCCAGGCGCGCCTGTCACAAATGACGGCGCTGGGCAAGCACTAGGACCCAGGAGCGCCTGTCAGGAGTCAGGCGGGCTATTTAAACCGGCTCTTGCAATGCTCAAGTGTATGGTCTTATCTGTGTTCCTGTGAGTAGATTGTTTGTTGCCGACCCTGCCTGACCCTGATTTGCTGTCCGTCTCCTGCTCTGATCCCTGGCTTTGTCTGACCATTCTCCTGCTTAAGCCCATACGTTCTGACCTCCTGTTGACGAAACCGGCTTGTGACCTGTTTATCCCTCTGCCTGCTCATTCTGTACTACACCGCCACCACTGTTACTGACCCGGCCTGCCCGACGCTGCTCCTGTTACCTCCTCACATCAGACTCTCACCTGCTATACACCTCCAACGGTGCTTCTACCACAGCTGGGTGAACTCAGGGGCTGCAACCTGGTCTCGGCCTGCTCCAAGTCCATCCCCACTATCAGGGGCTCTGGTGAAGAAGCAGGTCGGAGCTTAGATTCCGCGCCTTGGGGGATACCGGTCTGTGGAGTGTTAGAGGCTACTGCTGCAGGATCCCTGACAGCGTGGCTCTCTTTCTCGTGGTACTGAGCAGCATGGCTCTCTCTCTAGTGCTGGGCAGCATGGCTCTCTCTCTCTTGTGCTGGGCAGCGTGGCTCTCTCTCTTGTGGTGCTGGGCAGCGTGGCTCTCTCTCTTTCTCGTGGTACTGGGTAGCGTGGTTCTCTCTCGTGTTGCTGGGCAGTGTGGCTCTCTCTCGTGGTGCTGTGCAGCATGGCTCTCTCTCTTGTGCTGGGCAGCGTGGCTCTCTCTCTCTCGTGGTGCTGGGCAGCGTGGCTCTCTCTCTCGTGGTGCTGGGCAGCGTGGCTCTCTCTCTTTCTCGTGGTACTGAGAAGCGTGGCTCTCTCTCGTGGTGCTGGGCAGTGTGCCTCTCTCTCGTGGTGCTGGGCAGTGTGCCTCTCTCGTGGCGCTGAGCAGCGTGGCTCTCTTGTGGTGCTGAGCAGCGTGGCTCTCTTGTGGTGCTGGGCAGCGTGTCTCTCTCTCGTGGTGCTGGGCAGGATGTGGCTCTTGCTCGTGGTGCTGAGCAGCATGTCTCTCTCTCGTGCTGCTGGGCAGCGTGGCTCTCTTTCTGGCTTCCCCAGCACAGTCCTCTCTTTCTTCTTCCTGTCTCCTGTAGCAGTGTCTTCTGATTAGCCCTCTGCTGTGGCCAATGGGGAGGGAAACAGAGTTTGTGGCGAAGCTGATGAGCGCGCTGACAGGAGGAGGGGGAGTGAGCAGGGGACACACTCTGACAACTCTCCTTTCCCCTGTCACAGCGCCGCAGCCTGAGTTCTCTGGTGGACTGAGCGTTGGGGGCGGGGGGAAGAGCTCTTTGTCATTGCTTCACTAGAGCAAGGGGGGGCTCAACAGATATACTGACAGGTCTGCAGGAGACCTGCATGGTACCAGCAATCTGCTGATCGCTGCTGCAATGCTTTCCAACCAAAAATAATAAATGCACAGTTTTCACCAGCAAAAAATATGCATTTATTATTTTTGGTCAAAAAAGGAACTTGTCCTTTAACCCTTTTGCTACCAAAGTAATTTTTATTAATTCATTTTTTGTCCACCTTAAAATGCATGAACTTCAATATTCCCTCTGGCCTCCACTTCAGTCCAGCTCTTCTATGCTGAAAAGGCTTATGCTGGTTTCACTGCACACTGTGCAGGTTCTCACAATGTGCATTAGAAGCTGCAGTAAGTTAGATGGAGCTCCTGCTCATTTCCTAGCTGGAGGACGCCCAGCATCATCTATTCTTTCCTCCCCAGCATGACCCCGCCCCTTTCATTTATTGGATTTCAGTTATTTTTATCATGAAGCCTCAGCATCACATGTGGGCATTACCTAGGGTGGTCTGTATGCAGATACGGCCTGAACAGGGCCACCCACTCCTCCAGACTGACACCTACCCATCAAGACATTTTGATAATTGCATAACTCCTCCCAAGAGCCCTCCCACTTCTTGCATCATGACTGAGGGCTCTTGAGAAGAGTACTCAGACAGGGTGCTGTGATGGTTTCAGGAAGCTATGTACAGCACTCTGCTAGCCCCTCCCACCAGCCATGATCTGCCTGCATTACATAGAGAAGCACAGAAACTCAACAATGACATCACTATGTAAAAAAAAAAAAAATTTAATAATAACCCAAAGATTTTATGTAAAAATGTAATTATTGTGTTGAAAAGAGGGAAGAGGAGAGACCAGGAAAGGCAACTAGCGAGTCAAACTTAAGATTTAATATGTACAACCTTGAGGAAAGATGAGTAATGGGGACTAGACTGAAGAGAAATGAAATGACTGTGGAGTGCTGCGATTAATTGAATATTGTAAAGATGGTATCCCATATTTACTAAAGGTGTCATCACACTAAACTATAATAACATACCGAGGAATGGTAAAGAAGATACAGCCTGGGCATATCTCCAATAAATCTGATTACTTTATTACTGCATCACAGATGTAGCTCCCTCTAGGTAGATAGAGTATTTTTTGTTAGCTAGAGGCTAAGTAACAGCCTGGGATGAGTCAGCCTAGGAGTGAGGCAGGAATTCACCTCAGGACAGGCTGGGAGGCTCTACAGGTCAGGGGTTTTGGAGCTCTCCAACCTTTCCAGAGGCTCACAGAACTCTCTGGAACAGGGGTGGAGGAGGCCCAGATCTGCATGTTTAAGGGACCCTGGTCAAACCCCTGGCAGGAGGCTGGGCATGGTAAACGGGGCAACCCTCAAATGACAGAGCCTGGGGAGCAGGAGAGAGTCGGAGGAAGATGGACTGAGAGGAAGGCTGGGAGGGGAGCCTACCTACAAGCTGGTTACTGGACAGGAGGCTCTCCACTGACTTACCACCCCCCAGGAGCAACAGCCTGTATGCAGAGAAAAAGCCAGCCCAGCAAAAGGCCTGAAAGCAACTTTAACCCATCACTCTAGCAGGCCTGGACAGTGTGAGTACTCCTGCACCCCCTGGGCAAAATAAGGGGAGAGGGCGGTCAGGTGTAGTACCCAACTAGTCCTCATCCAGAACTGCTTAGCAACTCTTGGGACCTCTTGCTCAGGCATACCCCCACAGTACAGTTGGGTGAAGAGGTGGATTCATCTGGGGTCTGAGGAGGTACACAAAAAAGAACTACAGTGCTCCCTGAAAGAGACAGTGCTATATTTGTTTCTAATCCACATTTTGTACAGTTTTTGTTGCTAAGAAGCTTGTCCTCAAGTTTTACAGTTCTTTGGACATCCCCTATACTGTACCCCTAGACCCCATCCAAGTTGTTAACCCCATAAAAATGAAAAAAAAAAAACAAAAAAAAACAGCTCAAGGACTGTTTACTGACTTCAAGTGTGCAAAGTGAGGAAAATGCATGTTGCCTGGCCATACAGAGCATAGGGGGACCCAAAACAAATCCAGCAGCCCTTACAAGGGTAGTGCTGCACAAAGTATAATATATTCATTACAGTATACTTACAATATATAAATATCATAGAATTCAGGGTTAGGATCATAAAGCCAACAAATGTCCTTCTAAAGCTCCCTGTAGGAATGGACTGAATGTCCTCCATGTCACTCTGCCACAGGGGCGGACTGACCATTTGGAAACTCGGGCACTGCCCGAGGGCCTGGGGTCAGTAGGGGGCCCCATGAGATGCCCCTGGTACCTTTTTCATAGGCTTTTTTAAGTTTGGGCAAGGACACAGGGGCCCCATGATCCCCTATTGCCCAGGGGCCCCATGAGTTGTCAGTCCGCCCCTGCTCTGCCATATGGTGTCCAATGAAGGAGATGTTATCCATATGAGAAATCTCCTTCCACCAATTTGTGGTAAATATAAACAATCAAGAGAAAAGGCGAATGTCTGCATCGACATCAATGTTTTCAGCTCCCGAGGTGTCAATGCTCAGTAGTATCAGATGGAAAGGATTTATATTGCTGAAAGATTGTCTCACCGGCACATATTCCTCTATGGTAGTAGAACTGTTAGTGTGGAATGTACAGATATAAAACAGCTCCATATACAGTATACACAGCAAATGTTTATACAGATTCCTTGCAGTGGATGGTTGGCATAAATCCTGTCTATATACAGACACAGCAAAGCTTTCTGTACACTGGCTGCACCCTCTGAAGAGTTGGAACACTTTTCAGAGGGTGTGTGACAGGTGGAAATGGTTTTATGTCACCCCTAAAAACCTGCACCACCCTCCAATGTAAGGGACATTCTTCCCACTGACCACCAATGTAAGGAGCATTATTCCCACTGACCACCAATGTAAGGGACATTCTTCCTATTGACCACCAATGTAAGGGACATTCTTCCCACTGACCTCCAATGTAAGGGACATTCTTCCCACTGACCACCAATGTAAGGGACATTCTTCCCACTGATCACCAATGTAAGGGACATTCTTCCCACTGACCACCAATGTAAGGGACATTCTTCCCACTGATCACCAATGTAAGGGATATTCTTCCCACTGACCACCAATGTAAGGAGCATTATTCCCACTGACCCCCAATGTAAGGGACATTCTTCCCACTGACCTCCAATGTAAGGGACATTCTTCCCACTGACCACCAATGTAAGGGACATTCTTCCCACTGACCCCCAATGTAAGGGACATTCTTCCCACTGATCACCAATGTAAGGGACATTCTTCCCACTGATACCCCAATGTAAGGGACATTCTTCCCACTGATCACCAATGTAAGGGACATTCTTCCCACTGACCACCAATGTAAGGGACATTCTTCCCACTGACCCCCCAATGTAAGGGACATTCTTCCCACTGACCCCCCAATGTAAGGGACATTCTTCCCACTGACCCCCAATGTAAGGGACATTCTTCCCTCTGACCCCCAATGTAAGGGACATTCTTCCCGCTGACCACCAATGTAAGGGACATTCTTCCCATTGACCACCAATGTAAGGGACATTCTTCCCACTGACCCCCAATGTAAGGGACATTCTTCCCACTGACCCCCAATGTAAGGGACATTCTTCCCACTGACCCCCAATGTAAGGAACATTCTTCCCATTGACCACCAATGTAAGGGACATTCTTCCCACTGACCACCATGTAATGGACATTCTTCCCACTGACCACCATTGTAAGAAGCAATCTTCCCACTGACCCCCAATGTAAGGGATGTTCTTCCCACTGACCCCCAATGTAAGGGACATTCTTCCCACTGATCACCAACGTAAGGGACATTCTTCCCACTGACCCCCAATGTAAGGAACTTCTTCCCACTGACCCCCAATGTAAGGGACATTCTTCCCACTGACCCCCCAATGTAAGGGACATTCTTCCCACTGACCCCCAATGTAAGGGACATTCTTCCCACTGACCCCCAATGTAAGGGACATTCTTCCCACTGACCACCAATGTAAGGGATGTTCTTCCCACTGACCCCCAATGTAAGGGACATTCTTCCCACTGATCACCAACGTAAGGGACATTCTTCCCACTGACCCCCAATGTAAGGGACTTCTTCCCACTGACCCCCAATGTAAGGGACATTCTTCCCACTGACCCCCCAATGTAAGGGACATTCTTCCCACTGACCCCCAATGTAAGGGACATTCTTCCCACTGACCCCCAATGTAAGGGACATTCTTCCCACTGACCACCAATGTAAGGGACATTCCTCCCACTGACCCCCAATGTAAGGGACATTCTTCCCACTGATCACCAATGTAAGGGACATTCTTCCCACTGACCCCCAATGTAAGGGACATTCTTCCCACTGACCACCAATGTAAGGGACATTCTTCCCACTGACCCCCAATGTAAGGGACATTCTTCCCACTGACCCCCAATGTAAGGGACATTCTTCCCACTGATCACCAATGTAAGGGACATTCTTCCCACTGACCCCCAATGTAAGGGACATTCTTCCCACTGACCCCCAATGTAAGGGACATTCTTCCCACTGACCCCCAATGTAAGGGACATTCTTCCATAAAATGGTTTAAGCCCAATGTCTTATTGCAGTGTAGACATTTCCCATCTTACCATTCACACAGATTGGAGTCATCGCTAGGACCAAGCAATGGATGCAGAATGCAGTGTACATGACAGTCCTCTCAGGATAAGCGTCCAACTCCAGTCCCACCAATATACTGGATGTGATAAAATAGACTCCGCAATGTGAGTTGTATGAACACGTATAAACATAAGAAGAATCTGAGGCACTCTCAGCAGGAAGAGGGAGGTGGGAGATGGATGGCACTGCACCCAACAAAGGAATAACCTGAAGGGTCCATCATGTAATGTCTGAGGATCAATTTGGGAAATAAGGATTCTTAGTTCTACAAAACATGTACAGGATCACTGACAACATAATGTCTTCTTACAGCAATGAAGGCCAAGGAAAAGGAAAAGGTTATCCGGCCAACTACTGTTTCCCATTGTACAGGAAATAGACGGGAAATGATTGCTGGTCAGATAAACTTCTTCATTGTTTTTGGCCCTTGTTGTTGCCACAAATGAAGAATCATATGCCGTCCGTGCTCCTGGATCTACTGTGGAAGACTGGTTGAAGAGCGGGTTTGTTCTTTTATAGAAAAGAGAATGTGCCACAAAGAAACTAAAAGGGTACCTTGATGAAGAATATGCAATTCAGTTTGCACATCTATGTTACTGTTTCTTTTATGCTGCAATACTGCAATTCTGGGTTCTCTGTCCCTTGAAGAGGAAGTCCACGCTGGTGATGGGCCTCTCAAGCAGTGGGTGCTCCCCCTTCCCTGGAAGCCACTTTCTGTTAGCAGAGACTCTGGCAATGTTGGAGTTTTGATGGGCAGGGGCATATTTACTGCGAGACAAACAAGGCGTTAGCCTTGGATGGCATTTTACAGGGGGGTGACACTGGTTGTCCTGTGCCAGCTCCTGTGTGGTGATCGCACCAAAGAGGCTCAAGGGGCACCAGGGCTGGGCAGCAGGTGGAAGAGCAGAGTGAGGAGAGCCAGGGGAGCAGCTGTGAGACTCCATGAAGGGATTCTGGAGAACTGTGATGTGAGTCTCTTTCCTTCTTTCCCGGGGGGGGGGGCTCTGGCGGGTGGTGGGGGGCGGCAGATTTTTTTCATTGCCTAGGGCAGCACAAATCATAAATACACTACTGTTGATGGGTAAGTATACATATCTGGGTTGGAAGGGGTGAGCCTTGTGTACATACTGTTGCTTTACCCCGAATAGGCAGAAGCTCTTAAAGAAGAACTACAATGAAAAATAACAACATAAATCTAAATCTCCCAATAAAAGATAAAATAACAGCACTAGATATTGCTGCAATGTTTGCCTTTCATAGATTTCCCCTGCAGTACTTATTATCTGTCACTAGATGGCCAACATCATTCACCTATTTCCTCTGAGCCCAGGTAATCCTGGACCTGCCCATAGCTTGCTACTAGAAAGTTAAAGGAGGAGCAGCACAGTGATAAGCTCTTCTCTCTGTCATTCTGCTCTCTCCTCCTATCAGCATGCTTTTTGACAGCACATTGGCTCCTTATAGTACTTGTTTTTAAATAATCTGTGTACTTAGATTATAGGGCTGCTTTATTTGGGTCTTTTATATCTGCGCAGAGCTCAGCTTTAGGCAATGGCAGTATGTTGTCATTAGGATAGTTGTAGGGCTGACATGACAGGTGTAGGGAAACTCTAGAAGGTTGATTGACAGGCTGGCTTCCCATATAGAGATGAATGAATGTATCTGGGTTTGGTTCACGGGGAGTTTGTCAAACCCACATAAAGTCCAAAAACTGCCAACTTGAATTTGATCTCCATTGAAGCCTATGGAAGGGGGGGGGGGGGGGGGGGGGGGGGGGGCTGACTCTTGAAAACTGTTTCTGGCCAATTTTAAGGCTGGTAGGTAGAAGATTGTTTTACTAAGAGCATGGGGTGCTGGGCACTGCCATGGAGGACATGTACCAATGAGAGTCACGATCTTCCAGGTCCTGTGCCACCATTCACAGAATGCCTTGTATTTTTTAATGAATACAAGGTGTCCTCTGATTGGCCAAGGTGGAGGGGGAAGGGGTGACATCACATCATGGCTACAGATAGCAATGGGTCTTATCCCTCCCAGTCTGCATGGGACTCCCTCCCTCGCCTCTGCTTCACATCACTCTTCTGTTTTCTAGGATCATGCTGTGGTCAGGTGGACATACCTTCTGCTGGCAGATATCGGGTGTTGTGGCCACACCACAACCTATGGAAGACTTCAATCGAGGACTGGCTCAGTGCACTGACTCAGTGGAATCAGAGAAGATCAAAGCAAAATCATGATATCATGCCTCCATAGTGGACTCATGTGAGGGTATACACAAGTGTATCTCAGAGCCCAGACCGGGCTGGCTGTTTGAACCCTGGTTCCATTCTTTGATAGGTACATGGCAGCAGGCACACAATAGTTCACAGTCACTCGGGTCAGAAAACAGTCCTGTGTGTCTTTTTGCAGTTATTTATAACTTGACTGTAGTGGGGGGTGAGCCTCTGGACACTAGCAACTGGTCTGCTTCTTCAGGGTGTAACCAGCCTCTTTAATTCGGAGTTTAAATGAACAACAACGCAGGACACCCCTTAACAGAGGTAAAGTCCTGAGTCCTGGGTACTGTAAGGCCTCCTGTAGTACCAACCAGTCTCTGTACTTGATTCCCCCAGCCTGGATCTTCCACAAAGCTGCCTTCACTGCTTGAGGGTTGTCTGGACAGAGATCCCCAAGCTGTAGATGGAGCTGGGACCCCCAAAAAGGGATTTCTTCTGTTCTGCAGGTGACCCTCAGATTGAGTCCTACACCCCCAGAAACAAGAGACTGCTGTTCTAGGCACCAGCCTACTTATACCCCTCTCATCCTTTTTCTGGTCACACCTCTGACCAGGGATTGGCTGAGGCTGTGGAAATATTCAGGCCAGGGTCCCACTCTCCCACCCCCTATATCGCAGAACTAAGTGGAATGCAGGGGGAAGTAGCAGAACCCAGAACAGCCAAAAGCAATTGAACACTCCTCCCCTGCTACAAGGAAGCCAAAAACTACATTTACCTGAACTCCAGCAGTCTAACTAGGAGGGTGCTACACTAGCAAACGCAATCTCTCTAAAATCTGCCATGTATTGATACCTAATACAGAGAGTGTGGTCCTGGCTTTCTGTGCATGGAGCGTGACATCTAAATAATTCAGATTTTTTACCTTCTGTTCCAAAAACAAATGTGAAAAGTATCTCAGTTGCTCACTGAGGAATGGAAGGCACATGGATCCGAGCAAAGCAGCAGAAAAAAACTGTACGCCATATCACAGCAAAGTGCAGCACATGTTCAGGTATTTATCACTGACACCTCCATTCCTAACAGTGGGGTATAATAAAACTGTGTATGTACACTGGGCATGGCCACAGCAGGTATATTTGCGCATGCGCACTGCAATACCCCCAGCACGGGTGTAACGTAAATGTGGGATTCAAGTGATTGGACTGAGATGTGATCAGTAGCAATATGTAACTGTAAATTTAGTTTCATTCCTTGTTATTAAAGAAATATTCAGTCATAGGTATTCAGAGACATGTGCTCTCCATTTGCATCTGAAAAGACAGAGCAGCTTCCAGGCTGGAAGTGACACCTGGGTGCCAATAAGATTTGTCTATATATATATATATAATCAGACATTGCCACCTTCCTGAAGTTTAAAAGAGGAACGCAGATGTTTCGGCTTCATGACACCAGGGAGGCTCCAATCTGTCTGGGAGCTTTAAAGTATATCAGCGGATCAAAGGAATAGATTTCATCTCTCATAAAAGCTAAAATATTAGTTGCAGAGAGATGAAAATACTGCCTTCTGATTGGGCACTCTGTGGGCTACATCTGCATGTAAAAAACCGTATTTGTGGCCTATGTAGAATGCCAGAAAAATGCAGGAAATTGTTATGTGGCACCGGACTGCGACAGCTGAACAGTGATTGGTACCGTCGCGATCGGACTGATGCGCTGGTATCGGAAATTCAATCCCTGACTTGGTGATTCAAACCGTTCCTGGTCCAATCGACTTTGGGCATTTCAGCACCCAGAACGTCCTGTGGGCTGGTACAGGAACACCCCCCAAGGTTGAGGTTGATTGGGCAAGGACTAATGTCCAGCCTACGTCCATATTCCCATAAATTGAGGACTTGAAGTATGGATGTTGTGGATCGTATGGAGCCAGTTCGATCAACTTCGTGGACTTTCTCTGACTTTTTCAAGTCGCAGGATAATTCTTGGTAAAAGTTTTATTTCTGTTTTTTATTCCCTTTTATTTTATAGTGAATAGTCATTTGTGTGTCTTTTTGTATTTTTTTGTATTTTCTGTAACTTTTTATACTTTGTACATATTTTTATGCACTGTATAAGAATGTCCTCCTGCGCTCCACAGAGTAACTAAACAAAGCCAGCTGCTATCATGTATACCCTATACCTCGGGATGAAGAAAATATCTAATAAGGGATGAAGCGCTCAGCTCTGAGGGTAATAAGCTAATTAAACTAGATATAAACAAATTAATACATGAAATAAAAATAAAGTGACTAGTGCTCCAAATAAATATGCAAACAAAACAAAACAAAATTATACTAAATAAATACAAATTCTCAAATACATAAATATTTATATAGTGAAAGTGACTGGTGCTTCAAATCAATCAAAAGGTGCAAGCAAAACAAACTACCAGTCTGCCACCCAGTGGCTAAAACTGGTACTAGGTGTACACACACTAAGTGTATAAAAAGTGACAAGTGCCCAAAAAAACTAAATATATATATACAAATACATAATCATGTATATAAAAAACCGTAAATGGATACAAAAGTGAACAATTACTGCCTAAAGTGACAAGTGTTGAGTAAAACAAACAATAAACAAGTCCATATTAAAGTGCAACAATCGTGCTAACACTCTTTTGATGTGAAATAAATAAATGCTTTTCCACTTCAAAGTTTTGTGCTCAAAAAAGGTGACACTCTAGTGCATATATCCTCCAGTGGCTAGAGTGCCTCACCTCCTTTATTCGACCCCTAAGGGTCACAAATCATATAATAAGATGTTCCACCCCGATTG